TGACCCTTTCCCCCTATTTTCTGTTTAACAGAAAGAAGATTTTTTTCAACCCATTTCTAAACATAATAGTTTTAATAACTCATTTCTAATGACTGATTACTTTTATCTTTGCCATGATGACAGTAAATAACATTTTACTAATGTTTTTCAAGACACAAGCATTCAGCTCAAAGTGACATTTAAAGACTTACTTAGGGTAATTAGGCAAGTCATTGTGTAACAGTACACAGCAAATTCATCTGAGTTAAATTCTCGGTGTTGAAGCATTTCAGAGTAAAGTGTTGATGTTAAAGAGTTAGATTTTGATAAATGAATATAATAAGAGTTAGAATTGATTTTATTCAGTGCGAAATAAAGGAGTTAAGTTTTCAACACTTGGTGGTGTTATTTCCAACATCCGGGAATTCATGCAGCCCCAGTCACTGAAGAATTTTCCAGACGCCATTTTCCATCTGAGGTTTAGAACAGCAACTGGTGAGTCAAACTACCTAAATGTTGGTATTTTACTGACTTTCTTTAAGGAAATACAGTTGTAAACATATTGTTAAGTTAATAACTTTAGAATGGAGTGACAATTTTAAACTTCTGCGGTTCATTCATGGTCGTTTGTGTATCTAGCTTAACTGCATTACTATCACTTCTTTTCAAGAATGTTTTTATATATGCTCACGCATACATAGTGCATAAAAACATCAAATGTACATGTTCAATACATTTCTTTTACGCTTAATGCCATTTTGTGCGTTGTTACCCATTTGTAAAATAAAATCGACACTTCTCCTTTAATTCGAAGCAAACTAGCGAGGGAATCCCCGGAGCAGCCTAGCCTACTCTGCCCGGATGCTAACGGCAACACAGGACGGTTTCCATTCGCTCTGGAGATATTCTAAAACATATCTGGTGAGTAAATGAACATATGCTTACTTGTAAAAGGCTTCCTGACTAAAACATATGATTGTTTGTTATTCGTGTACGTTAATTTGGTTATTTTAAACACCGCGGCCCTTTTAAACTGGTTCATTCGTGGCCGTCCATATACCGTTAGTTCATAGACTCGCGTGATAACGTACGCTTGAATTATATTAAGCGTTGACAACCATTAAAGTCGGAATGTTAACATTAATGTCTTTAAATGACCGCGTTTGCACTTTCTCAGACATTTAAGGTTACAGAAGTCTCCTGGAAGTTGTGAAACTAACGTTAACGTTATCCCGCAAATGCACAGAGACTCCCAGATGCCCAAGTAGATGCCCGCGAATGAATGATAATCTCCCGGAAATCGCACGTCTCCCGCCCGGTCATTAAACACTTCGCACACCCCTCTCCACCGCATCCCTCCCAGTTCTTCGGGTACGTCGCGCGCAAGTCACCCCCACCGCTCTTTAGGTACGTCGCGCGCAACTCATCCCATTGCTCTTCAGGTTCTCATCTCTCCCGCTACCTCCCGCAAATCAACTCTGTATCCCCCGAAAATGACTTTTCCCAACTCAGGATGTCTGACGTTAGTAAGTTAGGCTATTTATGTAGTCAGGAACATCTTAGTCAAGCTTTTTCTCCCGCATGATATTGTGCTTAAAACTATAGGCCAAACTTAGCATGTACTGTACACAACGTTTCCGTTTCATTAAAGACAATTCAGTGCGTTGTAAACAGCCACCTGTCTGTAAAATTAATCAACTGATTCATATTTGAGCAGCCTAATGATGATACAGGTTTGATTTGTAGATTTATTATCAATAATCAACATCTGAATCAAAAGATATCTGAAAAAGTGTGAGGCATACTTTGTGATGTTCATCTCTCCTTTTTATCTGAAGGTTATGCATATGTGTTTGATACTAATTTTTTGTTGTTTTTTTTAACAGCCAAAGTTCTCTATACAATAACACAAGACCCTGTGACGGTGGCTGATTAGAGACGGATGGTACATTTCCAGAGTTGGTGAAATGACCAAGCACACCTTCTTGGTCATATGTGGTGATAATAATGAAGGTATATTTGATAAAGTTCTGTATTTGTTTCACAATAAGCTGAGAGGGTATTAGAGCATTAGAGAATAACAAATGACATGAAGGTGATAAGTTTTGTATTGTGGGTGAACTGTTACTTAAATAATGTTTTGCTCTTTACTTTGCACTTTTCCTCTTCTGCTTATCCTAATATTTTAGATTATATTTGGACCTGAAACATCTGCTAGACTCCAGTAAAGGTGGCGTCAATACTGGACCTGAAAGGGCCTAACAAGTTGAATCTGGTATAGAAACATGCACGCGCGCACACACACGCACGCACACGCTTACAGAAAACTGTTTATGAAGTTTATAAATATTTTTTACACTGTGGCCAATATTTTGGGGAAGTCAGCATCACTAAATGATATAAAAGATTTTAAGCTCCTCTAAAATTTGCTCCAAGTGTTGTGTTAAATTCAGGATTCTGGACCGACAGCTGCCTGTTTTTCCAGTTCTAGTCATAGTGGTTAACCTAATTGTTTTTGGAGATCCAACAGTGATATATGTGTTTTTTCTACTTTTCCATATCCTGTCACCTCAACCAGCTGGGAGAGTCAAGTTGTGGATCATCATGAAGATTTTCAAAAGGTGAGTTTAGATTTCTTGAATGTTTTATTTACTTTAATTGTTCTTTTAAATATATCATAGAATTTGATTGCAATTTGTTTTTAAACATTTTTCTTAGTCATGCTGGAGTCTTGAAGAGTTCTTAGATGGGCATCACCCTATATCCGTGCATCAGGAACCACCAGACGAGTGATCAGCAGCTGCTACATCGTCATGGATAAAAAGGTCATCCTGTGGCTGGGAAGCACTTCATTCACAGGACATGCTTGATGAGATTTCCTAGCTCCAGTTTGTTTTCACACAAGTTTACAGCTTTTATACCTTCATCTAAACTGCTGTGTTTGATATGGAGGACCAAGGAAACACCCGAAGTGAAAGATTTGCACGTCAAGATGTTTAAAATGTAATTTCACAAGAAAACTATGAGTTCAGAAGTAAACTATGAGTGACGCTATATTGAACTTTCAAATTGCTCTGATAACACATCAAGTTTGGACCAAAGGACTGAAACAGCCTTTTTGAGCACTGGTCATACATATTTTGTTGATACTGTCTGTACTAATAAAACATTTAAAGCATATTTGACATTGTTGCATTTTAAAAACTGAATGAATTGTTGAAGTGGTGAATATTTTCAAATAAAATGTTTTTTCTTTTGTAATTTACAGTCTATTTGACCTTTTTACCATATTTACACTCAAAAGAGTTGAATAAAATAACAATATATTACACCAGGCGGTGTTAAATATAGTTACATTTTTTAACTCTGCCCAGAGTTAAAATTAACCCTTACTTCAGTGTCAATGTGCCAACCCTTTTGAAAGTGTTGATTTAACTCTGCTTTGAGTGGACCCCATGAGACACTTTCAAAGTGTTGAAATTAACACCCATAGAGTTGTTTTGGGTCCCCATATTTTGCTGTGTAGTTTCTTCTGCAGACAATCAAAAATATTGCATACGGGGGCTAATAATATTGACCTTAGGTTTCAAAATATTTAAACCTGCTTTTATTCTAGCCAAAATAAAACAAATAAGACTTTCTCCAGAAGAAAAAATATTATAGGAAATACTGCGAAAATTCCTTGCTCTGTTTAACATCATATGGAAATATATATATATATATATATATATATATATATATATATATATATATATATATATATATATCTATCAAGCAGCCCTAGAAAAAAGTATTGAATACATGAAGAAATTGAGGTGTAGAAAGCCAGAGAAAGCTCAGTGTTCAATACTTTCTTCATGTGTTCAATACTTTTTTCCTGTGTCATTTCATTTTATTACACATAACTTATTTTGTAAACTAATCAGATTTCTTTTCTTTTTATATATGCATTTCTATTGGGTTCAGGTCAGGGGACTGGCTGGGCCATTCTACAGCTTGATTTTCTTTCACTGAAAGCATTTGAGAGTTTCCTTAGCTGTGTTTTGGACAACTGTCTTGCTGAAAGGTCCACTCTGGTTTCATCTTCATCATCCTGCTTATGTAGATGTTGGGCTGAAGCAGCTAATATTCATTTACAATGAGAAAGCGCAAAGGGTTGCTGAATAACTACTAAGAGATTTAATTTTATTACACATATTGTATGTAATTTGCAAACTAAATAGATTTGATTTTCTTACATATAGACTTGTCATCAACATCTGTTGAAGATTTCAAGTCAACAGCACCTTTAGAAATATGTTTTCTGAGAAAAAATGGTAGCGTGTTCAATACTTATTTACCCCATTGTATAAAAAAACATGTTTGTGTCATTAATAGATTCCATGAATATAATACATGCTTCTTGCACCCAATAACAAAGCTTTATTTTTAAGAGTTTATACTGCACAGCTCATATAAAATGAGTCAAACGTGACTGAGTAGTTTAATCAAAGAACAGATTATATAAATTAACATCCCCCTCTGATGTGCAAGTAGACTTCACTATACTCTCACGCTGCTATAAGGGACTGTAATGAGCATTATAATTGAAGCATGAGTGAGTCACAAATGGTGAATGAAAAGGTCAGCCAACTGCAAAGCAAAATGAGCATGGCTTTTGAATTCCCAGGGTGACACAGTTATATAACTCTGCACAGGCTATAACCAGTCTCTCTATGTCACTTCTTGGCATGTGAGGACACGCTTTGTGTATCACACACTTCCTAAGAATTCAAAAAACAGTCAAGCAGTTCTCTGATGGGACTGGTTTTAAAACGTTCACTGAACCACTTGTAAATTAAGCTATTACATCACAATCCCCTGTGCTACTGTTAGTACATTAAAAGCGCTGGAATAAAATGCTCTAGCGAGTTATCTGAAACTAAGAGATGATGAGTTATTATATGTCTACATTTTAATCATTGCGGTATGCTATGGTGTGGTTTCCAGTTAAAGATTAACTCAAGTTGTATAGTATTTACCTGTGGAGCAGAGATGTTTAGGCCAGGACTTAACAGCTCAAACTTCTCCTGTGATTTGTCCCGGACAAGCCGTGCGGCCTCCTTAAATTCTTTAAACTGCTCTGAGAACTGCAAAGAAAACAATCATTTCTTGATTTTTTTCAACAAATGTTTATATAAATATATGAAGAGTTCAAATGCTAAAACCTCTAATTGCCATCTGAAATTATCATCGAAAATAAGCATTTTTCTTAGGAATGCACTGAATATTCATCTGAAGGATTTTTATAACCGAAACAACTTGGCCAAAACATTAAGTTGTGGTGATGCAAACAGAAACCTTGGCCTGCACGTGCTTGTCTGAAGCATCATGTCTGGGGTGTGTCTATTAGATCTAATCGGATCCCTTATGCCTAGTTCACACTAGAGGATTTTAAGCCTGATTTGAGCCCGATTTGGAAGTTAACGAGCTCGCCGACAGATCGGGCTGTGATCGGGAAGAAATCTGCGGGTGCTCGGCGCTCGCCGCTCTTTATGTGTGAACTACTGAACAACGCATCAACGAGGCTCGCTGACGCGTCGCCGACACCTCGAAGACGGAAATCCAACATTCAGCATGCTAAATATTCCAGAGCAGTCGGCCGACTCAACCCCACGTGTGGTTAGATATAGTAACGAGCTGCAGCCAATGAGAGAGCATATCAGCATAAGCTGAATGCCTGTGTGTTCAGGAGCTCAGCAGAAACATCTGTGATTGGTCAGAATGGGCATCAACGCACTCGCTTCATTCTGCGTTAGCACAGACATGAGAGTAGGATATATTAACAGTGGAACTAGAATTCTGTAACTATTAGAATTACCATACTGCTCATTCTGACCGTTCTTATATAAAACGCCATATTGTCACAACATATTTACATTCAAAGCTAATATTAAGATATTAAAATTAAGCTTTGAATGTTTGGCATCATATTTAATGACACTATTACCCTAAAAATATAATCTTTTTTGGTAATACAGCCTATAAATATGTAGTTAAGATACTAAAACACTTAAAGGTCTTGGCTTTCATTTTCACTTTCAAACAGGAGCTTTTTAACAGCACAGAATATGCTGTTTTGAAAGATATCTGAAGTAAATTGATGTTTTTGCCATCATAAAGTTTTGTTTATGTTAGCAGGAAGTTGCCAGGCAAGAAAATGCACACACATTTAAAGTCACAGTGAAAAGTATCAGACATGCATGCAGTCATTTTGACCAATATGGTAATTTAAGGCAAAAATGCTCAGTTCTTTACTGTTTTGTAATAAAAAAAATAACAATGTCAGAAAGAAATACACTGATAGTTAGAAAACGGCAGGGTGTTATAAATATGTTAGTTTTATTTCAAAGAGTTATAAAATTACAAAAATTAAAAACTCTCTGTGTATCTAACCACTGGAACCTTGCAGATGAGTGATTAATCCGCTGATAAATCAGCTGATTTGACGATGTTTTTAAATGCTTTCTCCAAAGCTTGAAACGCTGTCAGTGATGTCATCAGCACACAAGCAGCCAATAGTGTTCAGCTTTTTCTGACGACTCCTCCCTCAAATTTTCATTGGCTGTGGTTTGGTATCTTGAATGAGCTGATGGGGAATGAGTTGTTGTCAGATCATGTAGTGTGTGTGACCCCCCTCTTGTGGATCGTTCACGGAGTGTTGCGTAGTGTGAACACCACAGAGATTAAAAGACACAAAGATAAGTCATGTAGTGTGAACAGCACAGCGATCTGCTGATGTTTAAAATCCTGTAGTGTGAACTAGGCTTTATTTGTGTCAGTACTTGATCCCCATTATAAAGATCATTAATATGCGAAAATAAAGCCTCACACACCCGAATTGATCCAGAAATTATCCATAAAGCTACTATATTTGTGACTATCAGTTCGTTGCCATATTTCTGCTAGAGCCCTTATTTTGCATTATAAAAGCTAATTTTTTGTTTTTGGGGGTCTTCAACAACAGGCTGATATGCATGCAAAGTCAAAAAACACTTTCATTGAAAACAAGAAAAAAGCAAATATACTTTAATATGTTCTGTATATTATTAAACTAGATGGAGCAACATTACAACAGAAGCTCAAAATGTATTCAGTCTGATAAAACCGCACTGCTTCTACCCACATTATTCCAATCTGAAAAACCAGAAGCAGTTGACTATGGCATAATACAAGTTCTGCTGCTTTTGTTCCATGTTCATCTATCATCAGCAATTGCTTCAGCATTTCAGCCTGACTCTGCTTATTACTACCATGATAAGAAATTCTGAATGCTTTAGCTCATCCATGATCATAATTTCTGCAGGACATTATTACAAATATATATATATATATATATATATATATATATATATATATATATATATATATATATTTTTTTTTTCATATTTGTACCATATCAGTCAAAACTTTATGCAGTAGCTGTTTACCACAGTTTTAGAAGCTACTAGGGAATCAAAGGTCTTGAGCACACTGCAAAATTAGGTGAATTACAAAATTTGCACGAAACTGAAATATCCAATCAGCATCAAGAACAGGACAAGTTGAGATCTGTTTCTTCATTTATTCATTCATTTTCTTTTCGGCTTAGTCCCTTTATTAATCTGGGGTCGCCACAGCGGAACGAACCGCCAACTTATCCAGCACGTTTTTAACGCAGCAGGTGCTCTTCCAGCCGCAACCCATCTCTGGGAAACATCCACACACATTCATTCACACACACACACACACACACACACACACACACACACACGCACACACACACACACACACACACACACACACACACACACACACACACACACACACACACACACACTACGGGCAATTTACCCTACCCAATTCAACTGTACTGCATGTCTTTGGACTGTGGGGTAAACCGGAGCACCTGGAGGAAACCCACGCGAATGCAGGGAGAAAATGCAAACTCCACACAGAAAAGCCAACTGAGTTGAGGCTCAAACCAGCGATCCTCTTGCTGTGAGGTGACAGCACTACCGACTGCGCCACTGCGTCACCCCTGTTTCTTTATTACAACAGATATTAATATTAATTCATCACCCAAAACGAAAGAAGTTTTATGTGTTCATGCATTTTCAATACAATTTTTTTCTTTTTATTTCTTTGGTTAGGAAAAATTTTACAATTTATGCTAGTTTTGCACAACACACATCATCAACCTTAACAGAAAGAAATGTGCTTTTTTAGTACAAATGGTTCAAAAACTTTTTAAGGTTTAAAAATAAAGGTTTTTTAAGCACTTGCCATGGAAACAAAAAAAAAATTTAAAGGCTTTTCATGGTCAAACAAGACAGCTTTGATAGAGAATGGAAAAGCTATTTCAGTTACATATTTAAGTAGACATTTGTATACTTTATTGTATGCTCAAACTGGTTACTGGGTCATAAATGGATTAAGCTTAAATAATTTAGTATGATTCCCTAAAAATAAAATATAATATTAAAAACATTATTAAATTAAATTATACAACATCAATATGGCATGAATCTATAAACCAGTTTACCAGTCCACAATATGCATTTACCTGCTGAAGTTGCTGCTCAGTGGAAAACCCAAGGCCGTACACAGTGTTCGCTCTGCTGTCTGCCCACTGACCAAACTTCTGTGATGTTTTTGTGAAAGTCATATTAGGTGTGATTGTGCTGTTGATAATGGCCTGCGTAACAGTAAAAAAAAACAAAAATTTTAGCAAAATTAAGATGCAAATAACGCATATGACATGCTAAAATTGTTTTGAGGAGAGGTCTAAACATTAAACATCCCAAGGTCAAACTTTAGAAGAAAATCTTAAAAATACATTATATTTTAGCCTTGGCCAAGTGTTTTAGCTCAAAAACAGGTTCCTAAATCAATGGAATGCTTAGAGTAGTGAAGAGTAGTTCTAAACCAGTAAGACCAAATCACATGTCCTAAAATGGCCGTGGCAGATAATCTGCCTTGAAAAAAAAACATTTGACCACAGTGAGATTTTAATAAGTTATAATCAAGGAGGTATTTCCATATGGTTAAAAATAGTACACTCTCTGGCCACTTTATTAGGTACACCGTAATAGTACCAGGTTGGACCCCTTATGCCTTGAGAACTGCCTTAATCCTTTGTGGCATAGATTCAACAAGGTACTGGAAATATTCCTCAAGAGATTTTGGTCCAAATTGACATGATAATATCAAGTAGTTGCAGCAAATTTGTCAGTTACACATCCATGATGCGAATCTCCCATTCCGCCACTTCCCAAAGGTGCTCTATTTAATTGTGATCTGGTGACTAGGAAGGTCATTTGAGTACAGTTAACTCATTGTCATGTTCAAGCAACCAGTCTGAGATTATTTACGCTTTATGACATTATGTGTTAACCTGCTGGATGTAGCCATAAGAAGATGGGTACACTGTGGTCATAAAGGGATGGACATGGTCAGCAACAATACTCAAGTAAACTATAGCATTGACACAATGCTCAATTGGTACTAATTGGCCTAAAGTGTGCTGAGAAAATATCCCCACACCATTACACCACCACCACCAGCCTAAACTGTTCATAAAAGGCAAGATGGATCCATGCTTTCATGTTGTTGACACCAAATTCTGACCCTAACAACCGAATGTCGCAGCAGACATTGAGACTCATTAGACTGGTGTGGTTTTCTGATGTTGTAGCCCATCTGCCTCAAGGTTGGGCATGTTGTGCGTTCAGAGATGCTCTTCTGCCTCGGTTGTAACGTGTGTTTGAGTTTCTGTTGCTTTTCTATCAGCTTGAACCAATCTGGCCATTCTCCCCTGACCTCTGGCATCAACAAGGCATTTGCGCCCACAGAACCGCCGCTCACTGGATATTTTCTATTTTTCTGACCAGCCCGTCTGGCACAAACAAACATGCCACATTCAAAGTCACTTAAATCACCTTCCTTCCTCATTCTGATGCTCAGTTTGAACTGCGGCAGATCGGCTTGACCATGTCTACATGCCTAAATGCATTGAGTTGCTGCCATGTGATCGGCTGACTAGAAATTTGCATTTTTTCTAATAGTTTTTTTTTTGTATTATTCACAAAATAAAAAAATAAAAAAACATTTAGTAAAAAAATAAATAAATGTATGCAAACATGTTCTTAATACAAATTAATTAATTTTTGCTTATACTTTTTAAATATTTGTTAAAAAATAGTAATACGTTATAAATATGCAAAGCATTTAAATAATATTCACTTAAATATTTTATAAGAAAATACATTAACTTATAACAGTGGAAGAAAATCTTTACATTAAAATGTCTACAAGATTAAAAAAAAGATTTTACCTTTAAAAATATTTAAATATGGCAACATAAAATCACACCCTGCAGAGTTTCCAAAACGTAATCTCTGATTCTGCCTTCTCAATCAGCCAATCACTGTGTGCATAGATTACAATTATGCTAACATCATCCATAGGAATGAGGTAATACCACTAAAATTCTGTCATGATTTACTGAGCGTTTACTTGTTTCAAACCTTTGAGAATGAATTTTTTCTGTTAAACACAAAATAATTTATTTTTTTTAAACAGTTGGAAAACTGTTCCATTCACTGCCATATTGTTGGTTCCTACTACAAATGTCAATGGATAGATTTTAAGCTTTCCTTAAAATATCTAATTTTGCATTCAAAGGAAGCAAGAAACTCATAGAGGTTTATAACCACTTGAAGCTGAGTTTTACTCTGCTTAAAGGGATAGTTCACACACAAAAAATTCTGTCATGATTTACTGAGCCTTTACTTGTTTCAAACCTTTGAAAATTAATTTTTTTATTAAACACAAAATAATTTCTTTTTTTAAACAGTTGGACAACTTCCATTCACTGCCATATTTTTTTCCTACTACAAATGTCAATGGATCAATTTAGATTTTTCTTTAAAATATCTAATCTAAAGAAACTCAGAGGTTTAGAACCACTTAAAGCTGAGTAAATATGGAGCACGTTTTTATTTTTTTGGGTCAACTACCCCTTTAAGACTTAGTTCCTACTCCTTAGCATAAGTTTGTCTCAGCAGGCTTACTCTTAGCTAACAACAATTAATACTATTTAGGATATGTCTCAAACTCAATTCCTGGAGAGCAGCAGCTCTGCACAGTTTTGCTCCAACACAAATAAAACACAGCAGATAAACTAATCAAGATGTTTAAAACTACTAGGGACCATTAAGCAGGTGTGAGTTGGATAAGTTTGGAGCTAAACTATGCAGAGCTGCGGCCCTCCAGGAATCTAGTTAGAGACCATTGATTTAGGAGAACTTTTAGTGGCAAGATAAAAAAGTTTTGTGAATTTTGTGTTGCTCACCTTAGTGCCTCCTACACTGATAATGCGATACACACTCCTGCCGGCATCAAAGAAGAAGGAGACGGTGACAGCGTGTTTGCTGGCTGGAATCCAATTTCGTTTAGTAGCCGGGTCAATTTGGAAGACGTGCGCCTTCACGCTGTATAGTGGCTGTTCCCTTCAAAAAAAAAAAAAAAAGAAATATTCATAACATACTCTGCATAATTTAATTCTTTATCAGAATGTCATTATTCCCAGGCTAATGTGGGTGATGTCATATTAGAAGTGTGATACAAGAAACAGTGATGTTTGTGATGGGAGGGAGATGAAGAGTCTAATGCAAGGTCAAGTGTGGGACATGAGAGGCAGACGTGATTATGAAGGGGCACAGCTGTGCTAACAGGCTGAGAAAGATCTTGCCTGAACTGCCTGACACAGAGCCACATCCTCTCAGCCCCAAATCAACACAAGATGATTATGGATGCCCTGATAATCAAAGATAGGTCAGTGTGTGTCAACTCAACCAGAGGTCCATTTTTATCATGTCTTTATCATATATGTAGAACACCAAAATATTGAAAGGCAGGAATGTAGTTAGTCAAAATTATTAGCCCTCAAGAATTATTAGCACTTTTCCCCAATGTCTGTTTAACGGAAAGATTTATTTTAACACATTTCTAAACAAAAGAATTTTAATAAATAATTTCTAATAACTGATTTATTTTTTCTTTGCCACGCTGACAGTAATTAACAGTTTATGAGATGTTTTTCAAGAAACTACTATTCAGCTTAGTGAAATTTAAAGACTTAAGGTAATTAGGCATATCATTGTATAACAGTGGTTTGTTCTGTAGGCAATTTAAATAAATATTGATTAAAGGGGCTAATATTAATGACCTAAAAATGTTTTTTTTTTCTTTTTTTTATTATTTTATTCTAGTCAAAACAAAAAATTTCTTTCTCTAAATGAAAACATTTTATTGGAAATACTGTGAAAAAGTTCTTGCTCTGTTAAACATCATTTAGGAAAGATTTGGAAAGAAACAAAAAGACGCCTAGTAATTTTGACTTGACTTTGACAACTGTATATTACTAGACTACCTGACAAAAGTCTTGTCGTCTATCCAAATTTTAGGAACAACAAATATTAACTTGACTTCTAGTTGATCTTTGGTATCAGAAGTGGCTTATATGAAAGGCAAAGGCCTCAAGATTATGCTTATTTTACCAAAATGAAATATGATCATACCTTGATTTTTAATCAAATTCAATTAGCTTTCTTGCAGGACTCCCAGAGTTCATCAAGATTCTTTCGAATCATCTTCAATGCCTCCTCCTTTATCTTACCCCAGAAATGCTCAATAATGTTCATGTCTGGTTACTGGGCTAGCCAATCCTGGAGCACCACAACCTATATTTGGCTTACAGGAACTTTTATGTACGTGTAGAGGCTAAAGTATGAGAAGGAGCGCTATATCCTGCTGAAGAATTTACCCTCTCCTGTGGTTTCTAATGTAATGGGGAGCATAAATGTCTTGATACTTTAAGCTGTTGATGTCTCCATCCATTCTGCAGATCTCTCACATGGCCCCATACTGAATGTAACCCCAAACCCCATGATTTTTCCTTCACTAAACTTGACTGATAGCAATAGCTCAAACTCACACTCATTCAAAAAAGAAAGTGACAGGGATGGCCAAACGCTGTAAACAAAACAAGGGTATCCATCTGGAGCTCCTCTGTGGACCTTGAGACTGGTTAAAGGGACAGTTCAACCAAAAATGAATAATACGTCATCATTTACTCACTCTTTACTCGTTCCAAACCTTTATGAGTTTCTTTCTTCTGTTGAACACAAAAGAAGGTATCTTGTAATAACACTGTAAACACTGACTGCCATAGTATTTGTTTTTCCTACGATGGAAGTCAATGATTGCAGGTTATCAACTTTGCTCAAAATATCTTCTGTTGTGATAAACAGAAGAAAGAAGCTCATAACAGTCTGAAACCACTTCAGGGTGAGTAAATAGTGAGTACATTTTCATTTCTGGCTGAACTATTCCATTGAAGACTTTGGCCATCGGTCTCAATCCACTCCCACAGCTCTCAGTCCCACCCACACTCTTTACCAGGCCAACCAATCACAGATCTTGCGTAGTCATTTTTTTGTAAAGTGCACATCAGAGTTTGGCAAAGAGTAGACCACTATGTGAAGCTGACACTGGAAATACCACATGGTCTCGAGAATAAATTGGCCTTAAAAGTTATATAGAGGCAGCAAACGACAATTTTCACCTGAGATTTGGAGGCAAATTACAGAATGGTAAAAACGATTTTAGAAAAAAATAGCAGCCTCAATATTTCATTTACACATAGACAATGGTATAGGTTCATGGTTCCTGTATTTCAGTTAAATATATCTTTAGCAATTCGGGTGACAATTGACAATTTGGGTGAATAAACACTACATAGGTTTTTCCCTATGATTGTGTGCCTCAAATTTAAAGAGAAAGTTCACTCTCAGGTAGTGTTGTCACGATACTGTAATTCAAAACCCATCAGTTTTGAAATTTTAAAAACATCCATTTCCCGAAGATCAGCTGGTCTGTTTATGAGCTGACATACAAGCGATCCACTGATGAACTGACTGATCTTTGTGGCTTTAAAATGCTCTAGTGTCCCTGTATCTGTAGTTACACTCAAAAACAGCAGTGAGTTTAGTGAACTGATGACCTTTACGGCCAATCACATTAATTTCTAATGAGTAATCAGTTGACTGCAGTAGGTAGTGCTGTCGCCTCACAGCAAGGTCGCTGGCGTTTCTGTGTGGAGTTTGCATGTGGAGTTTACAGGCATTCATGTGGGTTTCCTCCGGGTACTTCGGTTTCCTCCAAAGTCCAAAGACATGCAGTACAGGTGTTGGGTAAGCTAAATTGTCCATAGTGTATGAGTGTGAATGAGTGTATTTGGAAGGGCGTCCGCTGCATAAAAACGTGTTGGATAAGTTGCTGGTTTATTCTGCTGTGGCGAAACCAGATTAATAAAGGGACTAAGCTGAAAAGACAATAAATGAATGAATGAATGTTCTACTGAAAAAAGTCGCACTATATTCAACGTCCTGAGGGTGATGAAATTTAACTGTAAATTTTCGGCTTTGTACTAACTATCCCCCTAGAGAGAACGAAAGACATTACACTACTTTTCTCAATTAATACCAAAATGAAAATAAAAAGTTTATTTTCTCCATTTCAACAAGTTGTTTTATACTAACTGGTCTTAAAAAGATAACCAATTACTTGGTAACTATACTAATTTCTAAAGATGTAATTAAGATTTCTTAACTTTCATTAACTCATCTTACAGGGTTTTGCCTGTGAAGTAATGCTCTTTTTGAGGCGTTTAATAGATGACAGGTGGTGACGGATATAAACATCGGCTTAAACCAAGTGACATACCATCTATTTTTCCTCAAAAGAAGTCTAAATGCCTCTGGAGATCAATTAAAACTACATTGGGAAACAGCAGAGACATCTTCCCATTATTTTCTCCTATTGGGTCACACCAAGGACCAAAAAATGTGCTACTAGAAAAAGAAGTCACACTATATTCAATGGCCTAATTGTGAATAAATTACCTGTAAATTTTCAGTTTTGGACCAACTATCTTTTAAGAATGAAAGATATTAGATGCATGAACGCAACCTTTCTCACCTGATACCAAAATGCAAATAAAACCATTTTCTCCATTTCCACTAGCCGTTTCATACTAACTGGTCTTAATCATAAAAAGAAAACACATTACTTAAGAACTAATCTTTAATCAATTCATATTACAGGGTTTGCCTGTGAAGTAATGCTCTTTTTGAGGCTTTTAGTAGACGACAGGTGGCGATGGATATAAACATTGGCTTAAACCAAATGCCATACCATCAATTTTTCGCCAAAAAAGTCTAAATGTCTCTGGATATCTAGTGAAATCCACATTGAGAAACAGCAAAGACATCTTCTTGTTCTTTTCTTCTCTTCTTATTACTAGGCAAGCAGTAGAGCTGCACGATTCTTGCTAAAATGAAAAATCGCGATTTTATTTGCTTAAAATAAAGATCAAGATTTTATCACAATTCTGTAGATGTAAAATAAAGGTTAATATGAGTGGGCTATTATTATTGTTATTCTCAAACAAGTGGTAAAACAGCAATAGGCTTTGTGTAGCTGTACTGTTGGATAAAATGCTAAATTTTGTATAGACTTGGAATGGTGGACTTTAGATTTGTCCTGGTCATTAATGCTGATAATAATTCTGATGCTAAATTATTGTGTTTGAGACATATGCTTACAATCTGTCATTTTCTGCCTAAAATCTGTCACTGACATGATTTTCGTGAATACGGAAGACTGGGTGGGTTTTTGCATTTTGGCAAATTTTGGATACTTTTTGGGCTGGAATCAGTCAGCAACATCTGGCAACACTGAGTGCGCTTTTGGTTTCATTTTCACTGCTAAGAGCTGTTGACCTCCCGTGCGGCTCCCAAACGATCACATTGTACCACAAACTGAATGTTATTAACAACTTTATTATCTGTTACTCACAGCCTACGCAGGTTCTGTTCACTAAAGTAAACTTCATTTAGAGGCGCGGGCCCACCCTCCCTGTGGTAACAGCTGACGGTCAGCTCACATCACGTGTGATTTTGTGGTCGCAGATACATTACATGAAGACAGAAATTACATTTTTGAGGTAAATTATATCTTATGAATACAGCATGCGACTCTTTCAACACCATTTGGAGGTGTCCACGTTGCTGAACAACGTATGTAAAACAATGTGCGGCCTTCATTGCTTCTCTCCTAAACTTGACTTATGATTGACAGAATCGTAGAAACGTTGGACAAAGAGCTCTAGCAAGTAGTGAATAGATTGCTTGTCTTGTTGCCCTTCAACTGAAAACTACAACCAAAAACAAAATGTGTTATTGTAAAAATAGCAACTGGTAGCGACAATAGTTCACCGAGAGCAACGAGAGTAACAGACATCTTTAAGTTATATTAAACCATCCAATAGTTGATAACCTGCAATTCCTTCTAATGATTAATAGGGCTGCAGGAAATTGGAAAAAACTGACATTGCAATATATTTTTATTTTTCTCTGTGATTTATTTTGTGATATAAATATAATTT